CATATCTTTTTTATAGAGTGATTTGAGGTCTTCAGGGTATATTCCCAGTAGGGGGATTGCGGGGTCATATGGAAGGTCGATTTTTAGAGCTTTTAGGAATCACCATACTGCTTTCCACAGAGGTTGCACTAGTTTACACTCCCACCAACAGTGTAGAAGTGTTCCCTTTTCACCACACCCTCTCCAGCAGCTGTTATTTTTTGAGTTGTTGATAAAAAAAAAAAAAGAAGTGAGTGAGCATGTGCCCCCACTGAACTTGTCGGGCATGTTATCTGCATTTAAAGAAAAAGTTGATTGTCTTATCACTTCTTTTTTTTTTTTTTGAGTTGGAGTCTCACCGTCGCCCAGACTGGAGTGCAGTGGCCACTCCCGACCACCGCAGCCTCCACCAGCTGGGGCTCCAGCGATCCTTCCACCTCAGCCTTCCAAGTAGCTGGAACTACAGGCGCATGCTACCACACCCGGCTAATTTTTTTATTTATTGTAGAGATGAGGTCTCACCTGCCCAGGCGGGTCTCGAACCTGCGGGCTCAGGCAATCCACTCACCTCAGCCTCCCAAAGGTGGGGGATTACAGGCTGAGTCACCAAACCTGGCTTCTCACTCACTTCTTAAAGAGAAATAAATGCATAGGCACTTTAAAAAAAACTATATTGGCCACCATAAGAAAAATTCAAACACTGATGTGCAATATGTTTGAATGAACAAGCCAAAAACTTTTGTTTCTCCAATCTCTCAGTTTACAGGAAAACATTATTATACTGCAGATCTTTCATGTACTCTTGTTTTCTTCACATTCCCAACTACCTAGACTTTTAGCTTCTTGAAAGCAGGAAAGCTGGGTACAGTGGTTCATGCCTGTAATCCCAGCACTTTGGGAGGTGGAGAAGAGAGGTTTGCCTAAACCCAGAGGTTTGAGACCAGTCTGGGCAACTTGATGACACCTCATCTCTACAATATATCAAAAAGTTAGCCAGGTGTGGTGGTGCATGCCTGTGGTTCCAGTTACTTGGAAGGCTGAGATGGAAGGCTCACCTGAGCCCAGCAAGCCAAGGCTGCAGTGGTCATGAGCGTGCCATTGCACTGCAGCCTGGGTGACAGAGTGAGACTGATCAAAAAAAAAAAAAAAAAAAAAATTAGCTGGGCATGGTGGTGCATGCCTGTAGTTCCAGCTACTTGGAAGGCTGAGGTGGAAGGACTGCCTGAGCCCAGCAGGTCAAGGCAGCAGTGGCCATGAGCATGCTACAGCATTCCATCCAGCCTGGGTGGCAGAGTGAGATTCTGACTCAAAAAAAAAGGAAAGAAAGAAAGCAGGGAAATTACATGATATCCCCTTACCCCTTACATATATATTTTTGTTCAATTAATGAATGTCTAGTTTATGTGTCGATCTTTATACTGAAAAACATTTATCACAAGAGGATAGTATATGTCATTTTCTTCCTTGCTTTTCTTGCTCCTATAGATACAAACATAAATCTATACAATAAAAACAAAAACCCTCAAGTTAAATGATATTTTGCTTGTGCAAAGTATTTATTTATTTCAAATTAAACATGTTGGCTAGCTTCTAGCTAAATACTTTAATGATTCTCATTTAGAAATTATGTCTTCCTAAAAGAAGTGCTTCATGTTATATCTAAATGTAACTCCCCTGTAGCATTTTCTTGGGATCTTCTACCCTTGTGGCAGGGTGCTAAAAAGTTTTAGCTGGTGCACACAATTTCGATAATTTATATTTTGTTAGAAAATCATTCATTTCATATAAGTTTTCAAATATGCTACCCTAAAGTTGAATGTGATAGTCTCTACTCTGAATCTCTCCTGATTCTGTATTTTGTTGTTGTTGTTTTTCTCAGTTGGAGTCACTCTGTTGCCCAAGTTGGAGTGCAGTGGCACGATCCTGGCTCACTGCAAGCTTGATGTCATAGACTCAGGCAATCCTTCCTCCTCAGTTTCTTGAGTTGCTGGGACTCAGGCGTGCACCACCACGCTCAGCTAATTTTTTCATTTTTTTATAGAGACGAGGTTCTGCTCTGTTGCCCAAACTGGTCTCCAGCTCCTGGGTTCAAGCAATCCTCTCACCACAGCCTTCCAAAGTGCTAGGATTACAGGTATGAACCACCACACCTGGCCCTGTGGTTGTTTTATTTCTCATTCCTTTTCTTGTTCATTTTTATTTCTCTTTTCTTTAATCAGGCTCTAAACAAGTTTGCCTATTTAAATACTCTTATTTTCAAAGGACTCAGCATTTGAATTTATCCCTTCTACTATTTTTATTTTTGAGACAAGGTCTCGCTCTGTCACTCAGTGCAGTGGCATGATTATCGCTCACTGCAGTCTTGAATACCTGGGCTCAAGGAATCCTCCCACCTGGGCCTCCCAAGTAGCTGGAACTACAGGTGAACACACCACTATGCCTGGCTAATATTTTAAGTGTGTGTGTGTGTGTGTGTGTGTGTGTGTGTGTGTGTGTGTAGAAACAGGGCTCTTACTATGTTACCCAGTCTGGCCTCAAACTCCTCTCCTCAAGTGAGCCTCCTGCATGGACCTCCCAAGATGCTAGGATTACAGACTTGAGACAGCGTTTGGGCTATTTTTATTATTTTTATTTATTTTTATTTTTATTTTTTTTGAGTTGGCGTCTCACTCTATCACCCAGACTGGAGTGCAGTGGCCGCTCCCGGCCACCGCAGCCTCGCCTCCTGGGCTCCGGGGATCCTACTGCCTCAGCCTTCCAAGTAGCTGGAATTACAGGCATGCACTACCACGCCCGGCTGATTTTTTGATTAATTGTAGAGCTGAGGTCTCGCTGCCCAGGCGGGTCTCGAACCCGCGGGCTCAGGCAATCCACTCACCTCAGCCTCCCAAAGGCACAGGATTACAGGCTGAGCCACTGAGCCCAGCTTTATTTTTATTTTTTTTATTTTTTATTTTTATTTTTGAGTTGGAGTCTCAGTCTGTAGCCCAGACTGAAGTGCAGTGGCCGCTCCTGGCCACCGCAGAGTCGACCCGCTGGGCTCCGGCGATCCTTCCGCCTTAGCCTTCCAAGTAGCCGGAATTACAGGCACGCGCTACCACACACGGCTGATTTTTTATTTATTGTAGAGATGAAGTCTCGCCAAGTTGGCCAGGCGGGTCTATTTTTAAAAATTATTTTTTACTCTAATTTGTTTCTTTTGGCTTATTGGCTATACTTTTTAAGTTTCATAATATAAAATTTAAGCTCTTTTGTATCTTTATTGCTAGGTCCCATAGTTTTTAGTATGAAGTGTTCTTTTATTGCCTTCCAGGTAGTTGTAATTTTGCTTTCTATTTCCTCTTTAGATCCAAGTGGTTTCTTTTTCTAATTTTTGCCGGCTTGCTCAAATTCTAGTGCGTTATATTTTTCCTTATTAATTTGGACGTTCTTCTGTAGTTTTCCATTCTCATAAGGGCTGCCTTACCTTTCCTAGAACTTATAATCACATGCATATTATTATTGGAAAACATGATAGCAATAATTTATCCTATCAACAAGCCCTATCTCCCCATTCCAATAAAATGAAACCTCAGAATTCTTTTTTTCTCCTCCTCTCCCCCAGACCCTAGGAACTGCATTTTATTTACCAACTGACACGGGTAAGCCGGTAGTTGGGGAATATTTTCTCGATGGGGGGACCGTTCTCCTCAGCTGTGACCCTCTGACCAGGTCTGTGAAGAGGCAACTGGAAAACAGAACACAGAGGAGTAACTGATGCACCAGGCCATGTACAAGGTTAGAATTTCCCTGACATTTCTAAGAGCCAGCACGGAACCGGAAGACACAATTCCCCAGAAAAACGGGACCCGCCAAACCTAGTCATGTAACCCGCTCGCGCCGGCCCGGCCCCCACCTGCCTAAGGACTGCAATTCCCAGAGGCCTCCAGGGCACCAGGAGCCTGAAGCCCATTGGTGCAGACGGCGCGCTCTTTCCTACTCCCCTCACGCCGGAGCCAGGAGGGCCAGAGTCCGCGAGCGAAAGCCGGCGGCGCAGAGGCTGCTGGGAGATGGAGGCTGAGGCTGCGGCCTGCGCAGGCGCAAACCCGCAGCTAGGGTGGGGGCTGGAAGCGGCGCGGTGCCCGGCAGTGCCCCGATGGAAGTTTAGGGTCCGTTGAGGTGAGTGTTGGCGGCGGCTTTCCAGAGGTCCAGCCTCGCGGCCTGGCTTCTTTTTGCTTGTCGCGGCAGGCAGCGGTGGCTGTGTCGTGAGCTGCCGCATAGGCAGCTCCGGGGCTGGTGTATGGCGAGGGATTTGCGTCTCCCGTGGTACTCGCGCTTCGCTGCTCGCGCTACGTCACGTGCCGTGGAGGGCGGGGGGTCTCGGTGTCCCTCTTCTCTTTTCTCAAGATCCCAGGGGGAAAAGTGAAGGGTGAGGGTGGGGAGTTGTAGCTGGCCTGGACGACAGCCCCCACCCCAGGATTTTCGGGCGGGCACCTGCCCGAGGCTGGGGTAGAAGTTCAGCTGGGGGCTGGCGCTGCTGGACATCACCGTTAGGACACGGGCTCCGCGTTTTTCTTGGTGCCTCCTTTGTCTTCGGCCACCAGTCCCCGTTTGTGCTCCTTTAATGGCCTCTGGGTGCGTCCCACCTCCCTTCCTGTTAGATTTCCTAGATGCTGGACACCGTACCTGAGGCCACGTCTTGCTCATAACTGCTACAAATCCTGGGCGTTTGAATAAGACCCAATCCCTTAGAGCGGATTTACATTTTTATTTCGCTGAGGCCACTACTTCAGAAATTTGAAAAAGAGTGGAGGGGTCATCTGGGAGAAGGCTGCTTCCCCAGCACGGCCCACCTCGCACTGAAAGCTGCTCAGCTCTGGGCTCTCAATCTGGTCACTTGGGTTTTGTTTCAAACTTGTTTCTTCCCAGTGGTTATTTATATCTGTGGGATCCCGGAACTTTTTTTCCCCTGATGTTTTTTCCGGTTATGGCACTTATGTAGTTGTATTCTAGAAAACCACTTTACATCTTTGTCTCTACCAGGTTGCAAGTTTCTCAGAGGCAGTGACTTAGTGCAACAGGATTCTGGGGAGAGGTGTAAGAGAAAGGGAGTAAAGGGTATGGTGTAGGGTTTGGTTCTTTTTAAATGCTAAGTATGTGTTTAATGAATGAAAAAAAGAAGAATGGTTTCTTTTTGTTACAGGGTGCCCCTGAAAGATTCCACCTGATATGGTTCTTTTACAGAGCTAGTCCAGACTAGGATGGCTGTATCACTAACAGCAGCAAAAAGTCTGGCCCTTCAGGATACACAGGAACAAGAGAAGATTATGATGATGGAGCCAAAAGAAAAGGAGCAATCTTGGGTGTATGAGACCAGGCTACCTGGGATCCACTCTTCCAGTCAAGAGATCTTTCGCCAGCGCTTTAGGCAACTCTGCTACCAGGAGACTCCTGGTCCCCGGGAGGCCCTGAGCCAACTACGAGTACTTTGTTTTGAGTGGCTGAAGCCAGAGACACACACCAAGGAGGAGATCATGGAGTTACTAGTGCTGGAACAATTCCTGACCATCCTGCCTAAAGATCTCCAATCTTGGGTGCGGGGACATCATCCTAAGAATGGAGAGGAGGCTGTGACTGTGCTGGAGGATTTAGAGAAAGGACTTGAACCAGGACCACAGGTGGGAAGGGGGATTTGATCTGTTATGGGAGCCAGATCAGTGACCCTCAGGCTGGACAGAGGGGCAGCAGTAGAGGGGGAATTGCCCAGTTCAAACCTCTCTCAGGCCAAGTAGAGCAGTTAGTTTGTGTTTGTCTGTCTTTTCTGCCCTCAAGCCTTGAATGAGAAAGAGACTCTAGTTTCCTTTCCTTCCCCTGTACTAACTCTGGGGAGGCTCTCTACAGTCTCCTTGGAAGCTTTGGTCCCACGTAAACTGAGTGGTGCCTGATCACCTCCAGGTCCCAGGCCCTGCACGTGGACCTGCACAGGAAGAGCCATGGGAGAAGGAGGCACCTCTGGGAGCAGCCCAGGAGGCACTGAGCATACAACCTAAGGAGACCCAGCCTTTCCCAGAGAGTGGTGAGGAGCAGGGTTCTGTGGGGAGGGAATGGAGGAAGAGGAAGAGGGAATATAAACGGCACAGTACCTAGTACCTAAAAGGGCAAATAGTATGCGCAAATGTTTGCTATAATCATCATGGCCTTGCTGTTTTGTCTCTTAGTTGAGAGACTTTGCCCCATTTCCTCTCTCATAAAATCAGTATTAAGAATACCTGCCTCAGCCGGGCTTGGTGGCTCAGCCTGTAATCCCGTGCCTTTGAGAGGCTGAGGTGAGTGGATTGCCTGAGCCTGCGGGTTCGAGACCCGCCTGGGCAGGCGAGACCTCATCTCTACAATAAATCAAAAAATTAGCCGGGCGTGGTAGTGCACGCCTGTAATTCCTG